GGTGGTCCTTTCCATGTCCTTCTGACTTCGGCCATAGCGGACGACGGTTTCATGAGGAGCTTGGAGGTCAGGATTCGCGGCCAAAGTTTGTCTTCAACGAAAGCTTGTATGATCAGGTGCTTTTGCCGTTCTTCTTGGGTTCAGCCACCACCATTCCACCATGGGCTTTGTTCGGGTCTCCAGAAAGACGTTCTCGCCGAAAAGCTCCATATGCTGTTTGCAAGGCCCCTCCCTTGTGCATTTTTGCTAGATAAGACAAGGAGTTTCAACACAATATTTCGTACTATTCCATAAAATTCATTATGACTCTCAAAATAGTAGTTCCCATGATTCCTAGTTGGAGCTTGTTGCATCTGTTTAGGAGTCGGTTGAAGTCGGTTCTTGGCACACTATCGAGTCCAAGCTCCATTGCATTCTAAGGTTTTTACAGAGAATGGGCCCTGCCCTAACTTTGTGATACCCTTGCCATCCCTCATATACAGCAAGCCTGAATGAATTACACCTACACTACACCTGTGTTCATTGCGAACCGGTCTTCCGATGCTTTAAGGCATGGCGCACAAGGACACCGGGTTTGAGTCCGAGTCCATCTCAGGCGATGATAGTGGTCATATCTTGTGACCGCTTGTCTTCTCTCTCCATCTCTCTCCCTCCAGTCTTCCACAACATGACATGCGTACACGCCCGGGCATGCCTTCATTCAACTACAAACCTGTGCAGACCTAGACGTATGCAAGCGCCATCACAACCTCATCTCACTGCATGCTGCGAGCTCTAATTCTCTGTGAAGTCTAAACCCTCATCCGTTCACCCCCTAATACCGGAGGAGTTTAATGCTGCGGGAGCCTCGTTTGTCTGCCGACCTCGCCCAGCTTGTTTCCAGTTTGAGTGTCAAAAAACTCCCTAAACCCAAACCCTAAGCGTCCGAGTGCAAGCTCCGAAACCCTCAACCGAAACCCTAAACCCCCAGGTACCTTATATAGGGTACTAGAGCCCCTAGGGCCCTATATAGTAGGTACCTGGAGGGTTAGGGAAAGCCTTCTGAGTTTACCAGGAGACGCTTTTCGCCGTGGTCCGCAGCATCAAGAGCGGGCCTCGCAAAGCTTCCCAGGCACCGCCCGGCACGTGTTATTGATCTCTCAGCCGTCGAAATTCCTTAATTTATATCATGACTTTCTGTATTTTACATCTATCTATTCTGATTACGACTATGAGTGTTATGACGACTATGATTATGATTTTTTTGGTTGTGTCATTATCTTCATTTGTTTAAAATGTGCTGCTGTTGCGTTGCAAGTACTACAGTTCCTACGGTTGCTATTAAAGTTAGCCTGGGCACTGTGCCTGTTATTTCAGATACTGTAGTAGACTTATGGCAAGTCATGGAACTAAAGTTTTAAAGTAGAGGTAGGCACAGCCCTCTTCGTGTCGCATGGCTGCTCCGGGTCATAACATGGCTTGTCTGTTTGCTTGGTTGCTTGCTTCACATCTGTTTGTTTATGTTTTCTTTGTTAGTTTGTGTGTTTGTTTGTGCATGTGTGTGTGTTGCGGTGTCTACTCATACGCTGGTGGTATGTATCAGGCTACATCTGATCCCCTGGGGCGTCTGCCAGCACAAAGAGACAGATCTCGAGTTGAAGTCGCTGACTTAACCCTAAACCCTGAGTCTCTACTGTAGCAATGGTTGCTTTTCAACATTACGACAGGTTTGTTGAGCTGTCCTCTGCTTCGATCACGAAACCCTTGACCCTGGTCTCGAGGCCTCTGCAGCGCTGAATCCCTGGAATTTAGGAAGCTCATTAGCAGATTCGCCAACCCTGAACCGTAAAGCTTCATATACCGCTTAAGCCTAAAATGTTAAAGCACGCCCGCAAAGCTACGCGCAGCTTCAGCCATCACCATTGTTACCTAGCGGCCTGAATTATTCGTCTTTCGGAAGCCGTCGCAATCGATGCCGGCATTTCCACCATGCCGCAAGTTCTGACCTTCCAAAAGTTCCACAGCTTCGCTGATAGTCCCTACATAGCTACGGTCATGTATATATACCTATATTCATATATATATATATACACACTTTCTATTTATATATGAATATACATACATACCCCTGCTAACCTGTGCCTTACCTTCAGGCTGCCTCCAACCTCCTTCGACTGGGACTGGTGCCCTGGCGGCAGCCGAAATGCCCAAGGAGCTTCGAGCTCTTGTTGATATAGGATTGCTTGGAGCCGATGAGGCGCATATGGTAATAGGATATAATATAAGATATACTGTAACCCAGCATAACATAACATAATATATACATATACACATACACACAGGTATGTCGGGGTGTGTATGCTTACGTCAGCATGCCTACCCACCTTCGTGCAAACCTATTCGCATGTGTACATGCGTAACATATGCATATATTTATGTACAGATATACACAAGTATATATATATATACATATATATATATGTGTGTGTGTGTGCCTCTGTGTGTGTACTTGCATACATACATACATACAAACAGACAGACAGATAGACATACGTACATACGTACATGTCACTTTTCACTTCCAGAGGCAAAGTGTCCGATTCGGGGCCGAGCCTAGGCTTGAATTAATTAAGAAGCACAGCTGCACTGACCAGAAATCTGGCATGAGCCAGTATGGACTCGCACAAAGGAAATGGGATTGAACCAGCAACAAAAAGCTGTCCCACCCCCTACAAAACCAGACGTAAAGCGGCGTCCACTGCAGGCTAGGCTGCATCCCCAAGGGAGAAATTGTCCACTGTCCAAATTAGTCTACCACAGCATCAGTTCACGAATAAAGAGGCAGAAGAACAGGTTTTACTATGCGAAGCAGAACTCGTTAACACCGGCTAACAGGGTTCTCACAAAGCATCGTGGCCATGTAAATGTCTTCCACTATGCACTGAAATTACAACTCACGTGCGCACTGGATCAACCACATGAGACCTAGCACGTCAGGAAGTCGCCGGCTGGTGGTGTAGTCATCACGATCAAGAGTATCGATGTAGGAGTCCGCAGGACCATTGGCGGCCATCGCGGTACCAATCGAAAGTCACAACGCAGCCACTCACACCGGAACGGAACGGATGAACCCCAAAGCATCCCAAAGCAGTGCTGCTCGACATAGTGACATAGTGCAATGTAGAGCCCAAGTCGCGCAAGTACTTGAACTCTTGTTGACCGAAGTGCCCGTAGTGCGCCTCGTCATGTTGCTTGTTATGTTCCCTGTCCTGATCATGTAATTAAGCATTGCCGTTACAAGCTGGCACTGTCAGCCACGAGCGTGCCCATCTCGTTTTCCAGGCAATACAAGCAGCAAAGCAGAACGCCATGTGCCGCAGCAAACATGTGGCCAAAACATTGCCAGCAATGCCAGTTACACTGCACACTTGAGCAGGACATAGGGCTTCCGTCACGGTGCTTTCACGGTGCTTTCAACAGTCTCGTGTCCCTAGTCGCTGAACCTCTGACGTACCGCCTTCCAACTCGTGGCCATTGCATGCGGCACTGGGGCTTCTAGCACTTCCCCAATTGGGTCATATGAGCCCTACATGCGTACACGCATACATACACTTTTCATTCGGTAGCGATAGAGTCTGGATCTGGATCAGACGCACGCCTAGCAAGACATTTCATTCTTGAATGTGCAAGTCCTCAGTATGCGCTCACGATCTACCTAGTAGCGCGTGGTGCAGCGATCGCTTTAACGGAGGAAGAAGCACAAAGAGTCAACTGGTACCGCTGTGCAAAAGCCATCTCCGCGGAGCACATCCCCGTTCAAAACCAAAATGGCTACGCAAGACCACCAGCGCCTTTGAAGCCGGCCCCAAACTGACTCCTCTACCGTGTCGTAGGCGATAATGTCCGCCATTGTTTAACCATGGCCACCTTGCACAGCGTGTGACTCGCGCCCATGAACACCATTACATCGGGTTAAGTGCAGTATGTCCCAGATTTCCGAGTGATGATCCAGATGCCTTAGCCTGAAGAGTCCCTGCTCTGCTTGACGACGTCTGGAACGCCAGTGTCTTCAAGAACCCAGCCGCAAACTCTTCTGCCGTGTAGTATGCGAGCGTGTCCTCCATGTTCAAAATGGCAGCCTGACTCACCTGACGAGCCTCTGCCCTGCTTGATTGCGCGCACCTGGAAAGCCAGCGTCTTCTTGAAGCCACCCGCAAGATCCTTCGGGGACCATGAACACCAACACGTCAGGTAGGTGCCAAACCCCTCGTGCATGCCACGCATGCCAGCATGCACTGCATGACCGTAGTCGGCAGACGCATCCATGGCGGGTGCTGGGGCTTACAATATTCCTGCCCTGTGCAGGCGATTTGGGGCCTTACATGCACACATGCATACAGCCATGCATACATACATACATACATACATATATACATACAGAGACAGACAGACAGACAGACAAACAGACAGACAGACAGACAGACATACATACATTTGCATACACAAACGTATACACATGCCTGTCCGCGTTCAGGCGTTGCCCTGCTACGATCATTTACCATACACTCTCATTATTTCGTTATTTTTGTTTTTACTCTCTCTGTCTCTCTCTCCCCCTTGCCCTTTTTTTGTTCGGCCCTACCGTTGCACCCCTGGTGGTTTTCAAAGGTCGAAACCGACCGAGACCACCTGGCCTTGATCCGGGCCTTGGGAAGGCAAGGTGCGTGGGCGGCCTCCTTAGAGGTGCCTTGGGGTTGTTTCCTTGGGTCGAGAGGGGGTGGGGAGGGGTTCAGGAGTGCGGGAATGTAGGACAAGAGTGTGTCAAGGCCTTCATTTTTCGGAGCATGAGCTTTGCAACCAACAGGGGCCCCCATAGTACGTCGTAGGAACCTGGCTGGAGAAAATTGCCTGGTTTGGGCCTAGCTGGACCTAACTGTTGCACCACCTGTACAGAATTCCTTTTGCAGGACCCTTAACGGACCTTTGCTCGAAGCTCTTCGTTCGGACAGGTTTTTGAGTCCATGCAGAAGGCGCAGCTGCAACCCAGCGATTTGCACTGCACCGCGCTGATGCGGGCCTGCACAAAAGGCGCTCCGGTTGGTTTAGGATTCAGGGCTTATAAGGCTTATAGGGTGTAGAGTTTAAGGTTTACAGGTTTTGGTGTTTGGAGGCACTTGCCGTTTTTGACTACGACCGGCCTCAGGTGGAGATCCCGCTACAGCGATGCGTGTTTTTGCTGAGGCCAGAAATTGCACGTGGAGGGTGCCTTCAATGATGTTGGTTGGTATCGCAGCTGTCGATCTGTGATGTGCCAGCAACCTCTTTGTTTACATCGAATTGCTCCAGCTGCCTAGCCCTGTTTTATTGTACTCGCTGGAACCCTGACTGCCCTAAAAACCTGAACCCTATGTCTGTAGCCTAGCAACACAATCATGGAGCTTTCCGCCGGTGAAGTCTTCGATTTGAAGATGTAATGTTGAGATTTAATTGCCAGCGTTGACCCAAAATCGCCAAATCAGACTCTGTAACAACTGTGCATGTGTCGAACACTCATGTTGGTGTGTTTGTGTGTGTGTGGGGAAACCAGAACTACAAATCCTAGAGACTCAATGCCATGGACAAAATATTATGATTATGATTGTGATTTTGGCTCTGATTGGCATTGTCTCAGTCTTCCCGGGAATGCCCTGCAGGTTGCCGAGCCGTCTGCAATGGTGTTTGCCGCTGCTATCTCTACCTGTGGAGCGGCTGGAGATTGGGAGTGGCACATCCTGAAGTCGAGCATTTTTAAGGGGTTCACCGCATTAACAAGACAGTGCTTTCAACGGAGCCATTGGGTATGTCAGTTGTTGTATGGGCTGGATGAAGCTTTCCACTACTCGTGGAATCGACCTGAGACGGCAGAGCCCTTCTTGCCCTTCTTTGCAACAGCCCGTAGATTGCAGCTCTTCCAGCGAAGGATTTCGAGAATCGGAGTCAAACCCCAATTCCGAATTTCGCGACGATGGTAGAAATTTGCCCCCCCGCCCACGCGATTACATCTTGGAATCCGAGGATCGCCCTGGACATATTATCTGCGATGGAGGACAGGCCCTGTCCATGTGAGACAGGTAAATAGAAAATACCGAGTAGATTTTGTATCCTTTCCCTACAAACGTTCTAGTGAAATTTGTGGCAGGACGCCGAGCTAAACCCAGACTTGGTGTCCTTCAATGCAGCCTTGGCGGCCGCCTGCTGGCAGTAGTAAACCCTAAACCCTAAACCCTGTCGGGGATGCGTGGTTCCGTTTCATGCCGACTTCGCGCCATGAACCTTGCCTGGCTTGTCCGAGCTGTGAGAGCGTAAACCCTTAACCCTAAAAGGACCATTCTTAGCCATGCGAGAGGGAAAAAAAGGACCATTCCAGCTTGGTTTGTTTTCTGGCTGCCGGTCAGCAGCATCAGTAAGTTCACCACACAGCACATGCCGCGAGAAGACAGGAGCCGAAAGGATTGTTATCCCTTTGATTATACTGCTGTTGTTATTATTGTTTGTCATAATCATTATGAATTTTGTTATTCTGAGTATCACTCTTCCATGTACTCTGTTTTTCGTATTAAGATTGCCGAACACTTGCCGACACAGCCAGTACTCGTAGAAGCATCTCCAAGTCTAGTCAAGAGCAACTGCATGGCCCTGTACATGTGATGGTCGCACATTGCAGGCAAAAAGAGCCCTGATTCATTATCATAGTTATGGATCTCGACGACTAACGAGGATCAAAGTGCCGGTTCCATTCGTTGACCGCACCCATCCCCACCCTGGAAGGCTGCCTAAACCTATTCTCAACCTGTGACCCTACACCTCCCCCCTTTGTTGCTCAAGACGGTGTGATGTCAGACGGTGCGTCACGTCCATGTCCTTTCAAACTGCGTGGGGTCTCACCGCTCGTCGAGGAGCAGTGCTCCGAGGGTCTGGAAGCGCCCCAAAACTGGATCTCCAACCTGATGGGCGGAGATGCACAGGCACACGAAAGCCAAGATGGGCCATACCAGCTCGAATGCGACTGCTAGGGGCAGGAAGAAATCTAAGAGAACGGCCTGCACCCGCTTTTCCTATGGGGGGGCAGAGTGGCTTAGCACTCTCCCCAGGCGAACCACTCGCCAGAACTCTTCCTTCAAGACAACTTGGCATGCTCGAAAGAACAGAAGCTTGACAAGTTGGGTTAATTCAAAGAACTTCGCGAACGAGGCTTCGCAGCACTAAGACTGGCGATGCGCAACGGCTCGGAATCAGTGATATACAATACCACATACATCCAAGGGCTGTTCTTAAGGGCTATAAGTTATAGGCCTTCGGGTGGTTGTGAGAGAGATCCAGATCCCTTAGTTCTCGATGCGCTCAAGAGTCACGGGATGGTCTGGTAGAGCCGAAGTCCTCTGGAGCTTCAGGAATAGCAGGCTGACTCGCCCAGGTACAAGCCGCCTCGCCGAGCTTTTGTTTAAGTGGGCTTCTTTCGCCGGCGACCGCCAAAGATTGTGGAGTTTCCGATGTTCGATCAAACCCACTAGCCGAAAGCTTGAGGGAATGTGCAAGCCGGGCGACGAGGGCTTCGCGTGCGAGTTCTGAGTGGCCGCAAAAAGAGCCTCCCAGTTAAGGTACAAGGAGACTGGATCCCGCGGGCCTCCCTAAACCCTAAACCCCTGCACTGAAAAAACAAACCCTCGCAACCCGAGGCCTGCCACAGGGCCGTGAAGTCCAAGCCTGCGCTGCGGCTGCTGGAGGCCCTCTGTGATGAAGGGAACCTCCGGGGAACCTGCTCTTCAAAGCTCTTCAGGAGGTTTCTCCCCGGGATTTGTCAAACGCGTGCTAGAGTCTCTCAGAGCTTTGAAAACTCATCTTGTGGCTGGCACGTTTGAAGATTCCTGGCATTCGTGTTTTGAGGTAAGCCCGGCACCTATCAGCCCCAGAAGCCATCTGGTGTGAGTAAAGCAAGAGTTGAAGAAGGATTGGCGTGCCCGGGGCGTTCATCGAAGTGTCTTTCATGGCATGCTTGTTCTAAAAATGTGCAGTGACGATCCTGTGCCATGGTGGCACCTCACCAAGCAATCGAGGTCAATCGTTGTGCCAACCGCAGCTCAACGGGTTTCTACTACCCCGGCCCAAGCAAAAGACCTCCAAGCCGCTTTACATATATACTATAGACCCCCCATTATGGTAACATTAAGTACACGAAACCCTAACCCCCAAACCCTGTGCTTTAATTTGTAATTTGTAATTGGTAATTCGTACTTGTCGTCTTGCATGACTGCATGAGCGGCATTTTGCTGTAGATGTTGGTAGTGGACTGGAGTGGTACAGCCTTGTTTGGCCTCTTTGGGACTGTTGGGCTCGCTGTATGTTCTTCAGTCTTCGACTTGTTTCCTTCGGGGAGCTCAACGATCTCTCATGACGTTAGAGGTCTTGTCCATGATGCTGGTTATGGCTTAAATAGGGCTAGGATCCTCATGGACTGACCCCCTTCGTCTAGTACAGTCTTACAACCTTTGCGCCGATTCATCCTCGCTAGTGGGCATAGTTCCTCAGCCATGCGAGAGGGAAAAACAACTTGCTCCCAAGGAGATCCGGCGGCGGGAGCTGCAGCCTGATGTGGCTCTGCAGGCAACGCAGGAACCTAAGCCTTTTGAATGCAGAAAACCTGGATCCTAGCTCCAAGCACCTCGAATTACAGTACCCCCGCAAAAGCCTCACTTGATAATGCGACTACAGAACATCACTCCAAAAGCATCGGAAGAGCCGTGTTTGAAGTCGACCTTGAACCCATTTCCCTGCAAGTAGCCTCCGGCCTTCCTGAGAGTCCGGAGCGGCCACTGACGCTTTGCGCCGGGCCTAAGCCTAAACTGGGAAAGCATTTTTGTCTCGACTTGGATTGCTGAAGGGTTACTGCAATCCATAAGGGTGAGTTACGGTTAGGGTTTAGGTTTTGTTTTTGAGATCGTATTCAGCAAGAGCTTTTGCACATTGAGCGCACTGCTTCACCAAGGTGGTGTCCTATAGCACCGTGATCAGCGCCTGCGAGGTTCTCTTGTCTGACGATTAGAGCTCACCTGCAAAGCGGCGTATCAGCGCTTCCTCAGTACTGTTTCTCTACCCAGATGGTGTATAATACACACACACACACGCACATACATACATAGAAGCCGGATGAAGCCGGCATACGTGCCTACACATGTACATATACATAATTGCAGTTGCATTGCGCCGTGCCCACCGAGGAGGGACGGCGCTGGCTTCAGGCACTTCGCCTGCTATCTTCCATGGGTCAGGTGGCCGGACATGCCAATAGAAAAGAGCCTTATTTGTTCATCTCTACTTTCAGCCTAATTTAAAATCCGTGCGGTGACATGCGATAAGAGTTACATTTGATGTGTTGGGTCTGGCCTTCCTAAATCAACAACTGTTGCAGCAGTGTACGGTAGCAAAGAATGCCTGCGTTTGCCATAGGATAGGTTGAAAAAGTACTTCGTGGTGAGATTGCTGGGCTTACTCATGTCATGTACACTCAGCATAACATACTGCTGAGTTTCGGTCAGTTATGTTCCCAAGGAGTGGGTCATGAAAGTTCGCCGTTATTCTTTCCTGGATGGTTAGTTAGTGTTGAGCACGACCTTCGGGGTTCCTCAGTCGAAGGCATGTTAGTGCGGATTCGAAGAAAGCTTTATAGGGTTGAGGGTTTGCCGGTCAGCGCCTTCTGCCCAAAGCAGAAGCCAGAGCCACAAGCCATCGTAGATGAGCTGATCTTCATGCGTGCACCTTTGCAGAACGAACAAAGGCGGTCTCTGAACAAACTAGCTTCAAATTTCTCTCATTGCTGCATCCCCGGGTTTCAGTCTCTCCGTATCTAGTACGAGTCCATGAAGCACAAAGGTGCAAACGCCATGGCCTGGCCCATACCTCTGCTTTTGCTGCGAGCGCTATTAGTCCCATTTTGCTACCGAATAGCTTTGGCACTGCCAGTACTAGCACCTTGCAGTTGTTCACACGTTAGCACTTCGATGTCGATATTACAATCATGATTCTGATGAGGGGTGCATGCCCACTTTTTGCGAACACTAGCATGACTTCGACTATGCTGCTAGCTTGGCGAGTTGCTTCCCGCTGATATCGATAACAGGCATCCTTGCTCCTCCTCGCAAAGATGGGCCCCTTTCTCGGCATACATACACATTAAATTACTTACCTACATATACATATATATATATACATACACCTTCATAGAGTTGAGACGCAGGTCAAGGTACCTCCAAATGTGGTGACCTACAGTGCTGCCATCAGTGCTTGCGAGAAGGGCCGTCGCCCGACTCCAGAGGTAGTCAGGGTCCTGCTCCCCAGCTTTGCACGGGGATGCCAAGATATTATAGGAGCCCAAATATTTACCAATACTGTCTTAGGGGTTCCTTAGTACTAGTGTTCAATTAGTATAGTAGAGTGGGCCCCAAACCCTCTTCTAATTATTAAGGCTCCTACATTAACTCACCATCTTCAATTGACAACTCTGGTGCCTCCGGCCCCAGGCCTTTCTTTTGGGCTTGCCTCATTTCGAATTTCCTTCTGAGATTTTGGAAACGGTTGGGCTTGTAACCCACAAGGTGCCGCGTAGTTCGATGTTCCAGCATGATCGAATGGACCAAGCTGAACGCCATGCATACCTTGATTTCAATAGTGCTGTCCGGCCGTCAGACATGTACAACTATCGTAAGGCCTTTTGCAACACCCTTGCCGATCCCTGCCCTCTCTCTGCAGAGGTCAGTGGGAAAGGGCCTTGCAGCTGATCTCAGAGATGCGTGGCAGCGGCAGCTCAGCTCAAGAATCCCAGACTAGTCAAATCCGTTGCTCCTGTGAAAGCAGTCAGGCTTTGTCCAGGGGACCACAGAAGGTTCTTCTTTGATAGAAACATTCAAAACGGCCAAAACAAAACTGCTGTAAGGAGCCCGCACAAGTTCATGAGACCGCGCACCAGGTATGGTTGGCGAGACAACAATGTACTACATCACACTGCTTCACTATTAGTCACTACTTTATGATTACTCTAATACTACTATCATACTACTATACTCGTATCTTGAGACTTTTAAAGGCCCCAGCTAGGCCCACAGAATCGCTCACCCATACCCTCCATTCCTCGTACAGGTATTATGTATGTGTGCAGCGACCGCATCAACTTACACATGTATATGCAGTGCTTTTACAATATGTATATCTAATATAACACATATATATATATATACTATATGCTATATATACATATATACATATACACAGATGTAGATGCCTGCATGTGCGTGTCTGTATATACAGAGATATACCAACACGCGAATACATTCCGTAAAATCACAGTAATTCATGCATAATGTCATAAATCTGTTAAAGTGAATGTCTGCATGTAATGTATGTATAAATGACTGAATGAATGTATGTATGTATGTATGATGTATGTATGTATGTATGTATGTATGTATGTATGTATGTATGTATGTTATGTATGTTATGTATGTTATGTATGTTATGTATGTTATGTATGTTATGTATGTTATGTATGTTATGTATGTTATGTATGTTATGCATGTTATGTATGCTATGTATGTATGTATGTATGTATGTATGTATGTATCATTTATGTAGGTAGGCCGGCAGGCAGGCTGGCAGGTAGGTATGTATGTGTGTATGCATGCATGCATGCATGTGTGTGTGAGGGTCCTATGTCGGTATGTATGTATGCATGTATGTATGCGTGCATGCATATATTTGTAGACGTATGTATGTTTACGTATATGTGCGTGTGTGCTTGCATGTTTGTGTAGATGTATGAATGAATGCTCGTGTTCCTATCCGTTTATCTATCTGTCGATCTGCGCAATCTATCTTATCTGTCTATCTATCTATCGATCTATCTACCTGCCCATCTGTCTATCTATCTACCTGTCCATCTTGCTATCTGTCCATCTACTTATCTATCCACCTTTCTATCTAACATACATGCAGACACACATATAATATCTTGAGTGCTGGCATGTGTGAGCACACTTGGTTTTCTGCAGTATCCAAGCCCTGGGTATCTTCATGTGCCAAGGTGTCGAGCCCAATGTCGTCAGCCACGCCTCGGTGCTGTCTGCATGCGAGCAGCTCGGGCTGACGATCATTTAGAACTAAGACTACGGCTATTGATCGGAATTATGGTGCTGACAACAGTCGTAATCATGGAGAGGGGACTGTTGTGTGGGATGAAGATTTGTTGTTACAAGCCCTTGTGTGAGATGAAGATTTGTTACATCTCGAGCAGGTACAAACCACCGTTTTCCATCCCGCGCAACAGTCCCTTCCTCATCATAATAGTAAGATGTAGTAATAGTAATCTGATATGTTATTCACATGTTGCAAGCGATGGTAACCACCGCAGCCAAACAGACCTTGACAGCGATAGTTGCTATGCGAGTATGATACGCTACCGACAGTGACCGCAATGTCAGTAGCAAATAATAGCAATAATTCTAGCAGGAATATGATCTGTTGCTGCAAACCCAGCTTTGTTGGGAGTGGGTCGTCGCAGCTACAAGTTGAAGGCACGCGAAGGCTGCTCTTATGGTCGTAAAGTGTTGCAGATTCAGATTTCGGCCAGGAAAGCGCAACAGTGGCACTGGGCGTTGCATTACTGGGCACAGCTTCAATTGGCAGGCCCTGGAGCTGGCATCCTCTTTGCTCGCATAGATAGAGTTGCAGGGCACGTGAGTTTGCGCTTAGGACGTATGTCGTTGAAAGAAGCTATAGTGTCCATAGCCTCGTACTTCAGAGCTATATCAGCTATTCATCGAGACGAACCCACGGCTGCAGAATCAAGAGCGGCAAAGAGCTCTGACAAGTTTGGGTTCAACCTGCACACACCCATGCAGGTGAATACAGAGTCACTTTACCTCAAAAAAATGCAAGCTGCAAACGGATCAAATTCAGGTTCTTGTGAGTGGTGACGCTTGGTTGCGGCAGCCGGCTCAAGTTAGGAACCAGGCATGCGCAACACCATGCGAGATCATTTGTGTAGATGTCTTGCCCTCTGGAGGTGTTCGCATGAATCGGGTGACGTACAGCGCAGCGATCGACGGCAGCACTTTGTGGGGAGTGGAAGCAGAGTGTAGTTGGGAGTAGCATCCCATGCCCGCTCATGAAATTAACCTAGCGTGGGCTCAATTTGTAATGTAGGTTCCTTGGTTTTGCTTTCATGTTTTTTTCCTTCATTTGTCAAATCTGTTGATTCAAATTCACCTTCACTTGCAACTGTGGACGGAGGTGCTGGTTTAAGTAGTATATCGGCACTTCGTGCTCAAGTGTGTCTGCAGAACACCAGACGGATGTTTGCTGTGTACTTCCGAAAAGACAGCTGTTATGTCCTTAGAACAACACTGATGGGAGCAGATGGGAGCAGATTGCCTCGAAACTTGCGAATCCGGTTTTGCCGTGTAGAATAAGGAGTGCCCTAGAATCCGTTTCTGCGCGATGAAGTGCCTCGCGGCATCCCGAAAGCTCCTAGAAGCTCTTGCACACACAGCACATTACCCGAAACCCAAAGCCCTGTAGTTCCCGGCTTGGACTGTGATTGTGGGCTGTCTTTTCTGTTTCACGGCGACTACGCACCATGAACCTCGCCAGGCTTGTCCGAGTTGTGAGAGCGTAAGCCCTGTAGTTGAGTACACCTGGGCCCGGAGCGTCATCCCAGGATCGGCGCAGCAGGCATCGGGAAGCACTGGGATGCTTCGGTGCGCCTTCTGGCGGAGATGTGGGCTCGAAGAGTGATGCCAGAGACTTCTGCAGCAGCTTTTGGGGGTTTGGGCTCTCAGGGAGTGTGCTAATTAACAGTCTGCAGATTCTTGAGGATCGAAGCCAGGTTTGGGACGGGTCACGCTATGCCGTGACAAACGGCAAACTGCGGGCTCAGTTTTCAATCTACTTTTGGCACCAGTATGCTTCCAGTGTTTGCTTCAGGGCATCTTATCACTTTGAGCCGTTTCGCAGCAAAGCCTAGACCCGCTAGCAGGGAGACCGCGGTGGACTTGAGAACGTGTTGCGTTTCTGTCGTGTCGGTCTTCTGAAGCTTTGCTTCCCTCCAACATCCAGGATGTTCGAAACTACACGCTGGCGCTCAGCACCTTGGAACAGGCCCGGCAATGGCAGCTTGCGGCATCTCGGCCCCGTCCATGGTCAAGACCTTCTTCTTATGAACCGATCCGGGATGCATTCATTCTGTGTCTTGCGCAGCAAGCGAGCATTTTCCAAGGATCACTTCTGTCTAGTTTCGGCTTTGAGGCCAAGCTAGAAGCATTTGTCAACAGCCGAAGGACATAGCCAAGGCACTGAAAAAAAAACAAGTGAGCTTTAATCAAGCGACTTGTTCATGAATTGTTGGGGCCAAAATCTTGAAGACCCAGAAACATGTAGACCAGATCGGGCACCGGGCCGGACAGATCGGAAACGTGCCGAGACAGTTATCCCTCGAATTCATTCAGGAAGTAATCGTAGATGGTGTTGGTTCTGTATGCTTTTTGTTTATTTTTGTCCCGCTTGTTCTTGCGGCTTGTGTTGACCGAATCCGGCCGCTTGCAGAACAAGCAGAACAGGTATGAGTCAGCCGTGAAACGCTTAGAAGCCGCCCTCCCAATTCGTCGAATGCCGTGCCTCTTCATCAGTCAACAGTCGCCTTTTCGGATCACCTGAGGTGCACTTGCTGCTACAGATGCGACAGCGAAAGCTGAAACCTGACCTGTGCCTCTGCTATATGGAGTTTTGCACCGACTCATGCATGCATGGAGTGTGTGAGATGTGTAGTTCAGGGCAAAATGTGGACGATCATACAACCACAGGCATGCACCGATTCACTCACAAGCGTTGAGGGCTAGATCGCGAACCAGCCCGTGACTGGATACGAGAGTCTGAGTGGTCTTGTTGGTCTGAATTGCATTTTGCCGCTCCGCAGCAGGATCTGCCACAGTATCGCCGGGAGCTCAGTGTCTTTGACAGCGGATGCTTGCCAATGACGCCTGCTTTCCCGAAGCCAATGTCGCAGTGTCGGGTTTGGGGTACAGAAGCCATCGGCCTATCCTGGCCTGGCTGTGCCGGGTGTGATGGTTGAAGCTTCAACCCTGATGCCGCAGGCTTATGATACTAAAGCTCTAAGCCCACAACCCCGAAGCTGATCGAAACATACCGAAAACTCTGTAACACACCGGATCACACCGAAAACTGTGTCACACCACCTATACCATACCCATCCACCTATCCTCAACCGAAACACCATCCTAAAAATACCCCCTAGCACAACCTAGAACCCCAAGCCCTACAGCCCTTGACCCTAAATCCTAAACCCTGAACCCCAAAAAGCCCCAAAACCCGAAGGGCCCTAGACCACCTCTTAAGCCCTGAACCCCTAAAACCCTAAAAGCCCTAAAACCCATCTCTCCCGAGCCGAGGTCAAAAGAGCCCGCTTTGCGGGCCGCCTGGGGCGCCGAAGCTCCCGGAGCAGCCGACGAAAGGGGGATTCGACGGGCATTCAAACGAAGATGACTATATATAAACATATAATATACAATATACAATATTCAATATAATATATATATATATGATATACAATATATGATATATAGTATATGACATATAATATACTGTATGAGATAATATATGAGAGAAAATATAGGATATATAGTACATAATATATATATAATATGATATACAATATATGTGTTCAGGGTCACGGTGCTGTGCATCACTTGTCCCAGCCTGAGCCACAAAACTCTGGACATCAGCACATTCCCTCAGCCGGGGGGTTGCACTGTTAAGACTGTTGGATGTTGGATCCTGGATTCATTCTGGTTTGTCCTCGCTACGAAAGCCCGCCAGCTGCATGGTAATCCCCCAACTTTTCAGTAGTTCCTAGTTCCTCACAAACATGACAGTAACAACCCTAGGCGCTGCAAAACCTTCGTAAACACCTGGAACAATAGTCCCGTAAATCCTAGGAACACCCCCCTAGATCTCCTACATAGCCGTTATGTGTCCTTAACCCTAATAGAACTCTGAAAGAGCCGAAACCCTGAACCCTAAACCCTAATATAACTATTATATATGTCCGAGTTGTGAGAGCCCACTATAACTATTATATAACTCTGAAGAGCCCTCAACCTGTAACCGCCAGGACCTCCAGGCTCCGTTTGCTCCGAAGGCCGGGCGAGGAGGCAGAAAGCACTCCACTGGTGCTTTCTGACGGGGAGCAGAAACAAAGCTCGCCAGTGGTTTGGTCTATAGGGATTATAGGGTTACAGGCTTAAAGGATGTTTTCGGGTGGTTTCAATTGCAAAGGGGGTTTGGCATGGCCAAGTGTTCCATCAGGGCCCCAGTATTTAGCAGCTCGGGGCTTTGAGGCCGGGAAGGCTGTGGCGGTGGGCTGGGCTGCTATGATGAGGTTACATTACACTTTGCAACCACCGAAGTACGGCTTTTTTTGTGGGGTCAGGTCCGACAGGCACCAGTACAGATCATGTCATCCTTATAAATTCACCACCTGACTGACACAAGAGCATCCCTAGCTTAGCTGGGAGGACCTGCAAGCCCTCTAGTTGATTCCATAACCTCTCGATATCATGCCGACATGTGCGACGGATGTGTGCGACGATGGTCAAATGGCACGAAGGCAAGAGCCACATCTTGTAGCATTCGCCTAGGATCTACGATGCTTCCACTCAGCAGCACTAGTTGCCATCAGCCCGAGAGCACCCTTAACCACTAAGCCACTTTGCTACACCCGACAGCCTTAAGACCTACAGCGATCACGTGTAGCAGCCATGGTGGAGACCATGGCCAGCGAGGAGGGACAGGCCCGAGCTCATTCACGTCCTGGAATTGAAGGCTCTGAGTTGAGGCTTTTGGGTTGGGAGTTTACCTGCGTACTGGCATGAATGCATGCGTACATACGTATGCAGTGGAGGAGATTGACACCTTGTTGCTCGAGTCGAGTCTTCGGGAGTCGCATTTCCAAACCGAAGGCAGACATGAGCAGCCATCATGCGCATTTGAGCTATTCCGCAGCAGCTTGCCTTAGAGTGCGGTCGGAAAGCTAGGCTGACTAGGCCTGCAAAAACTTTCCTGCGGAGCGAGTCGGACCGGCATTTGCAGTTGTGCTTGAACAGCTTTCCTGCGCATGTCCTGCAGCTGTTCTCTACTCCATGGTCTTACGATGCCTGGCCGTACTCTCAAAGATGAGGACTCCCTCAAACCTGGGCTTCTGCAAGCCCTTACACCTCTTGAGTCTCTAGCTTCATCACCCTCTTTTCATTACCCTAAGAATGCTCAGGCCTTGTTTCTTGGCTCGCGATCGGCCCCATTAAGAGCACAAGGATTTCTTCAAGCTACAACTGAAGAGTCTGAGAGAGCTTTGGAGCCCTGCACTGTGCTGCAGCCCATGAGCTCTGAAGAGGAGAGCCCACTCGTGTTTTCAGGTTTAGGGTTTAGGGTTTAGGGGGCTTGGGCCCCGGGCTTTTATTCGCAAGTTGGCAGCTTGTTTGGGACCGGGCTGCAGTGGAGACCATGTCAGCGTGGCGGGAAGGTTGCCTTTGAGGGGTCACTGTTGGTGGGCTCCTTGCGTGTAGAAGCTGTTATCAGGATCTGCCCGCGGACATCAAGAAAGAGGTCGTGACATGGGCTGCAAGAGGAGCGGTACCTTCCGGCAGGCATTTGCCACATGCATTTACTTACCAGACCATTTTCAAGGGGAGGGCATCGCACCCATCTAGGGTGTCCCTCGCACACGGTGCAATCGAGGTGACAAAAGCGGCATACACTGCCCGTGCACCGAAGACTGGAGATGAGGTGGACTGTGGGTGGATAGGAATCGACAGATGTCGGATGCTGGGCACGTGCTTGCATTCGGGAAGCATGTGGGTCTTGACAGTATTCTCAGGCTAGGTATAACTCCGTGTTAGATCGTTGCATCCTGCGAGCGGCTAAGTCACAAGAACACAGGAGTGCAGGTTCACTCTTCCTACCGGTAGCAGCGAGGTCCGGATTCGCTACGTGGCCGTGGTGAACAACTGGCCGGTGGACACGGTGGACACCTCCGATGGGGTTCGCTTCACGTTGGGCCGTGGGGAGGTGCCCGGGCATGACAGCATGTCTCGAGAAACACATGTGAATTTTGACGTGACTGCACCCTTTCACGTCTTGAAATTCTCGCATGCTACCCCGCCTGAGTTAGCAGCCTCAGTGCTCCTGCACTTTCCTTTTGGTTGCAAGCCGGGAGGTCATGGAGGCCTGGGACCGTGCAGTCGCCACTATGAAGAAGGCCAGATACGTGGCACCTGCCTAGAGTATAGACGAGTATAGTATACGCATGATGTTGAAACAGCTGTACATGTCAATGTATGTACATATCGTGGACTTACAGGTTCTCGCACACAATCATGGCTTCTGCTCTGTAAGAGCAGTTCCTACAGTGTACAGAGAGAGAGGTATACCTACAGAGACACATGGGCACCGCAAGAGACTACTGTAACGGATGCATGAGCTCTTAGATTTTGGAGGCCCTGATCAAAAGGGTGGGTAGAGTCGAGGGCTGCCAGAGAAACAGTGGAAAATGGTTGTGTCGATCTTTTGAGTCCTTGAGCCAGGGCGTTTGGGATTGCAGCTGCCGTGCTTTCGTCGGATCTGCGTCGAATCCGCATGTTGAGATTGCCCTGGAAGTGTGGGATGTTGCTAGGGCGAGACTTCGAAGTTCACGGTGCCAGAGACTTGGTTGCATACACAAGCATCCTTACTCTAGACCTTTGCTTCGCTGTTTGTCGAAGAAGACACTTGTGACGTAACGCAGCAATCGGGCAGACTCACCATCCGATAGCAAACCATTTCGCCACAGCTGTGCAAGCGAAAGGCCCTTCTGTTGAGCCATGCTTCCGACATGCAGTGGAGCTGCATACCGTCTGAGGAGATGTACCTCTCAGGAGGGCCGGATCGATTCCGACAGAAGCTTCCAGATGACGGCCAGGCTCGGGGGGAATTTGCATGTCTTCTGTGCTCTTAGAACATGGGGGGGGGGGGGGGGT